CGTGGCAAACGTCATCATTGGAACCATGGAAGTTGATGGACCAGGTGAAGTATTTCTGCTTACGAGTGAGGTGCTAGGATCCGTTAATCATTCCACAATTTGTAAACTCTTTGACAGGTCGATTTTTCTACTGTGGCCAGAGGGTATACGACATGACGTCATCTTGCTTTTTATGACCGATGCGGCCCCATATATAAGGGGCAGTCAAATGAACGCGAGTCATCACGCATAACTCACACGGCGCGGAAGTTGGTAACACTGAAATTTGCTTACGGTACGAACATCTGGTGGGGACTCGGGAAAGCAAGCGACAACGTTCCATTGCACACTAGTCGTTTGTTTATTGTGCTGGAAGTAAGGTTAGCGCTACGTGTGGTCGTCCAACATCAGTAATGGAGGCGGGTAAAGAAGAACAGCGAAGAGGAGTGCGCTTTTTGACTGCTGAAGGAGCAGGACGAGAAATTCATCGTCGCATGTCTGTTGTTTACGGCGAACACAGCATGTCACGTTCGTGTGTGCTGGCGTGGCATAAGAGATTGCGAGAGGGACGTGTGTCCCTGCAAGATGATGCTCGCCCAGGAGAGGCTCATCGTGTCATCACTTCTGATGTTATTGCTGCGTTGGATGGTCATATCCGGGCAAACCGACGGATCACTGTGGAAGAAATTAGTCTTTTGATGGAAATAAGTCACGGTTCCTTACACGCCACTGTGACAAAACACCTGCTGTTCCGCAAAATCTGAGAACAGTGGGTTCCACATCAACTCTCGGAGGAACAGAAGACTCAGAGAATGGCTGCATCACTGGGTCACTTGCAACGAAAGGAAGAGTATGCGTTTTCTGTCCCGTATTGCCACTGGGGACGAAACTTGGTGCTACCATTTTGAGACCAAGAGCAAACGGCAGATTCAGCAGTGGAAACACGTGAATTCTCCTCCACCGAAGAAATCCAAAGCCGTACACACAAGTTCCGATAAAGTGATGGTGACGTTCTTCTTCGACTGCAAAGGCCCTCTGCTTGTCGAATTCTCGAGCATGGGGCCACAATCAGTACACAGCGCTATGAAGACACTGCAGAGACTGAGACGTGCCATGAAGTCAAAATGCCGTGGAATGCTACTGAACGGCATTATCCTTCTTCGCGATAATGCGCGCCCCCCCACTGCCAACTCTGTGAGGAATACGCTGCAGAGATTTGGTTGGGAAGTGCTTCAACAGCCCAGAGCTCTCCCCATGTGATTTTCACATTTTTGGAGACCTGAAGAGACATTCGTGGACATCGGTTTGCATCGGACGAAGACGTGTGTGGCTGGGTAAAGATGTGGTTCCGTAGACAGCCCACAAGCTTTTTCAAAGATGGGATCCCAGTGGGATAAATGTATTTACAGTTTTGGAGATTACTTTTGAGGTAAGAAATTTTCTTTAATATGTTTTGGCTTCTGACCCGCTTTCATTTGACTGTCCCTCATATTTTAAAAGCAGGCAAAGTCAATAAAGTCATTTTATACGAAACTGGTGCACGTTACTTGCCTAGCACATGCACTGCATAGAGTAACGGAGGAAGTGAGATCAAGAGTTCCTCAAGTTGGTGCTCTCATGTTGAGGACGAAGAAGATTTACCTCAAGGCTCAAGCTCGTAAAATGCAGTTTAAGTCTGTAGCTCCTGTGTTCCACTGCCCCCAGAACCCGTCATCACAAGGTGGGGAACGTGGACTGATGCAACAATTTACTATTGCTATCATTTTCAGGTACGATCGAAACCTGATTCAGGAGGCAATTAAGAGGCGATTGAACCCGGGTAATGCTTGCTACCATTCAGTCCAGAACTTTTTGTCTTCTTGTCTGCTGTCCAAAAACATAAAAATTAGAATATACAAAATTATAATTTTGCCTGTGGTTCTGTATGAGTGTGAAACTTGGTCTCTGACATTAAGGGAGGAACATAGACTGAGGGTGTTCGAGAACAGGCTGTTGAGAATATTTGGACCGAAGAGAGACGAAGTGACAGGAGGTTGGAGAAAACTGCACAGTGTGGAGCTTCATAACTTGCACTCTTCTTCAAGTATAATTAGAATGATCAAGTCAAGGAGGATGAGGTGGGCAGGGCATGTAGCACGAATTGGGGAGACGAGGAATGCGTATAGGATATTGGTGGGAAAACCAGAAGGAAAGAGACCACTGAGAAGACCAAGGCGTAGGTGGGTGGACAATATTAAAATCGATCTTAGAGGGATAGGATGGGATTTATGGATTGGATTGATCTGCCTGAGGATAGGGACCAGTGGAGGGCTCTTGTGAAGACGGTAATGAACCTTCGGGTTCCATAAAATGCTGAGAAATTCTTGAGTAGCTGCAGAATTGGCGGCTCCTCCAGAAGGGCTCAGCTCCATGAGTAAGTAAGTAAGTGAGTATCATTTTCAGGTAGTGAATAATGTAGATTCAAAGAAGGTGGAGGATGCGAGGACAATTGAAGCTGCTGAGGAACCGTTCTCGTGCAGCGAAATGGAAGGACAGCTGGCCTTCATAAAGGCAAATTCCAGTTCCTTGACGGAAGGGATCAAATGCTTATATGAGAAAGGAGCAACGCTAGAAGATTCGCTCGCTCTGGTGAAAAAAATAGCCAATGACTTGGAGAAAGTGTCAGGGGACATTGGTAAAATTGTGTCAAGAAAAATGAAAAAATGTTCTAGATAAAAACTCAGGTTATGAAACATTATGCAGCATTTCTCGAATTCTAACAGGAGAGTCCTTCAGCACTTTCAATATTGAAAAGAAACTTACTGCTAGTGATTTGGTACACTTCAAGTCCTGGTTATAATACACATAGACTATAAAGGAAACAACGTTTAACAGAACGAAAATAAATTGGTCGCAACTGCACTACGCTACGGGTCGCAGGGTTATAATTTTGTTCACGACTTTCTGTATTAGCTAAAAAAAGAACTGCATTACACGTACCGTGGAAGAAATACGAGAAATATGGGTGTTATAAATGTCTTAAAGCTAAAACAATGTAATGTATCCTTCGCGAAACGACGTGTCAGTGAATCTAAAATGGAAGTGCTCGTTGATTTGGCCACAATATCTATCTAATACTGCTGGGAAAATAAATCTAGCAGAGTTCTATCTTCTGGAATATAACGCCATGTAGTCTGTTTTAAATCAAACAGCGTTTCGGAAGAAAACTTACGATTCATTGTTAGGGGCCCTGGAGGAGAATTCCTTGTTTAAAAATTAGGCATCGAGTTTATAAATATTGTGGCATATTTGCTCAAAGCAAGAACTGTGAAGTCAGCAGAGATAGTCGTTGCTAGGGGAACAACGGACGTTGCTACGCAGTGGCTCAGTAGCCATCACGTGGTCACCCAAACACACAAACGCAACAATGGAGTGACTGTGGGAAGCGGTGTTTTCTACGCGGTCCATGCCGAGGCCTAGTTATAAGCAGATAGTTCCCCGCGCGAAGGCGAGTTCGAATACCTCCACCGTAGCCCTGCGAGTCGTAGGAAGCGACATAATGGGAACCCAGTGCCTGGAGTTATAACTGCGTCGCCTTATTCCTTGGAGATATAAATACGGGGACCTCGCCCTCCAGGTTTGGAGAGTCTCGATCTGAGACAGTAAAAATGGTCATGGGTCCCTCGGGAATCGGACCCGAGAATGACTGCACTGGTGAGGGACAGTAACAATTGTCAATGACAGACCCATACACTCGTCAGATATGACGCCTCACATAAAAAAAAACCTGCAACTGTCTGACAGTAATAAAAATCTGGTCTTAGGCCCCACATGGGTGCTTGACACCAAGACAGACTGGCCGATTGACCGTCGTCGTAACATAATTTTGACCTTGACCTTGCAGTTAGTAAGTTAGGGGAAAGGTCCGTGAGGGTCCCATAGCCGTCAGATTGTAATATTAGGTCCCAAGTTCTGTGGGACTGGAAACCAAGAATCACTGTGCTGGTGAGGACCGGCAGCAATTTAGCAATTAGTTAGTGAATTGCCGGGGTTCAGTCGTGAGATCTTGCTGTGAAAAGCTGGTAGCTGAGGCTGAGGACAGATTGGGACTCCAGAGGAAGGGGAACATCCAACGTTGGAAGCCGCTACGAAGCTAGTGAAGACGGTAAAAGATTGAGAAGACCTAGCGTGTTTTATAGTGATCTGTGAAGTTGTGTAGAACAAGTAGAGCATAATCTCTACTTGCAATTTCGAGTTTTAAGAGTTCAATAAAGCAGATTACCAATCCAAACCCTGTCTATAGCCACTAAAATCATGACAGTATTAACAGCCCAATTTTCGTGAAATTTGATATGAAGAGCCACTTGACCAGGAACCTTGCCGGTATGTGGATGAAACGCAGTATTATTTTGAACTTCTGCTAGGATATCTAACATGCTAACATTGCAATGGTGATTCCTGTCATCTAAGATGTGATCCAATACAATCTGGTCTAAGTGTGTTGACATTTTCGAGGAAAGTGCTGCCTCCATCTTCAGGGTAGAAAAGTGAAAACCTCATACCCTATACTCTTCTACTCTGCAGATGAAGACAGCATGCCCCTCCGAAATGCCCGTAAACTTATGCCAGACTATACGGCATCATATTCCAGAAGAGAGTAATACTTATAATAATCGCACTTAGAATCTTACCCCTCAATTTCGAATAGTGTTTTCGATGTAATGAACAATGGTTGTTTGATATTCTTAAAATTTAATTGGCCCTTTCGGAATTGACATCACTTAGTACAAATAAATCGTCTACTAACGCTTCTCCTTTATGAAGCAGATTATGAAATGAATGATAGACATTTATATCAGATCGCAGTCTTCTGATTTGTGAAACCGCGTCGGTGGAAACCTATTTCAGGGTCGCCCCTGAGAATGGAGACAATAAGTTCCTGCGAAACGTTAGGATTCACAAACAGTGCAGAGGACAATCTGAACGGCCCACTTACCTCTGTGAAAACCTGAAAACTTATATTAGACATTTATTTGTTGCAGATGACAAGAAATTACTTTTCCCATTGGATGATGAAAAAATGCTAATTCAGTTCTTGCGCCCTTGCAAGTACTATCCGAATAGTGCATATGAGAAGGTAAGTAATGGCGAAGGATACCCAAGGCTTGTTCATTCGAAGAAAGCTAGATTTATAATTATCGGAGCTCATGTATTAGATCAGTGCACTAATTCCTTTGACTGGAGTCTTTGAGAAGCCATCAGTCGCTCAGCTACTCAGGAACTTCCCAACATTTTACGGAACCCAAAGGTTCTTTCTTGCCATTGTAACAAGAACCGCCAGTGATCTCTATGCTCAGCTAGATGAATCTGACTTTGCTTTCAACTTTTTGCCGTCTATGTCCAAACTTCAGCTAATATTCACTCGACTTCTTTCTCCTTATTGTATATCACGGCATATTTCGGCCTAATCGGCCATTATCAGATGTACAAGCTGTTGTGATGAAGGAGTCTACTGCTCTGCTTTTCTTTTGTGTAAATGTCTCGGACTATTCTAGGTTACATGGGTTTGTCGTGCTGTTGCTATGCACGGATTTGATTCATGGTTTTGTCGGTTTATAGATTTTCCTTTGGTTCAGTGTGGGACTGTCCTGAATGTTTTTGTTGGAAAGGAAGCCTGCTGCTTGCTACAATGTGCCTGCCACAGAACCATATACTGTCCATAACTTAAGTTTTTCGGGCTTCGGCTCTGGCTCAGGACTTTGTTGGAATCGGAGGAAAGTTAATTTAATGTATTACGTAATCGAGGTGACTTTTCTCGCAAACAAAATAAAATAAACTGGCAACTGACGCAATAAATGAAGTATTCTCGCATGAAGATTTGAATAATTTCACTTTCACAGTGACCTTTTCTCCGGCTGTAATCTAACTATCCAAGAACTTTTGCGTAACAGGTTTACCAGTAATATACAACTCACTTTCTAAACAACATGCCAGATTTACCACCATCAAGCAACTGGTTCAGCTGTTCAGGGAATTACATAAGAGTCCTGATTCTGAAAGGAGAATGTTGGCGTTATTTGGGCATGTGATCAGAATGGATCAATTCAGAGTGGGTAAGATTTTTTTTTAAAGTAAGCCAGAAGGTAGAAAACAGTGGGAAGGCCCATACGGAAACGGAGGAAAGATGGAGCGAATGATTTGAGAGAGATGGAAATGAGAATTCTTTATTATTTATTTAAACTGCAAATTGGTTTTTACCCGGTGGCAGTGATACTACAATAAGACACAACACACAAAAAACACACCACACTCAAACAAATTACAGCATACAAAACTACACAAACAATGAATTCAATGCAAATACAATTACAACTACTACAAATAAATAAATTAATATTAATAAAAGAAATAAGTATACTATACACTAAACAGTAATAGTATTGAAATACTGAGACAAAAGACAAAGAGTAAAGAAGAGTGGTTATTTGCAGTAAATAAGACTAAGATTCTTAGAGTGAAGGGTTGAGTATGTCAGGCGTGTAGTCTTTATGCTCCTGAAAAATGTTTTAAGACAAGACTAGAAATTTCTATGAAGAATACTGTTTAATTTTTTCAGTATGTTATATACATACTATGTTTTATGCGGACATGAGACGTGACCTCTCATCTAAGGAACAAAATAGATTGAGAGTGTTTGGTGATAAGAAAACTGAGGAGATAATATCTGGACATATTAGAAGTGAAGTAACACGAAGTTGGAGAACAATTAATACGGAATATCATAATTTATACTCTCCGACCAAGATTCTATAAGCTTTTCGCGGATCTCCTGCAAATTTCCGCTTCCTAATTCTTCTTGATTTGTGCATCTTGGACGGAGAACCTGAAGAGGAATGAAAACTTGGAAGACATGCGTGTAGAATAGAAGATGACATTAAAACGGATCTTGAAGAAAAGATATGGGAGTGTAGAACAGACCAACTAGCTCGGGAGAGAATTAAGCCGAGGGCTGCTTTGAACACAATAACAATCGCTCCAAAAAACACTGAAGAATTTCTTTAACATTAGAGTGGCAATTAGCTTCTAAAAAAGGGCTCGGGTTGTGTACATGTTATTTTTGTATACTGCATATATGATGTTTGCTTGCAAGCAAGATTTATATGGGTGTGAAACTTGTCTCTGACATTAAGGGAAGAAGGAGTGAGGGTGCTTGAAACCAGGACACTGAGCAGAATATTTGGTATATATGAGACAAACACCGTCTTAAGTGTAACAATTTAATTGTAGTTCTTTTTTCTTTCCCTCCTCCACACTACATGTTTTGACCCTAAATGGCCATCATCAGGTGTGTATTCTTACGTAGCTGTTACACTGCCTGTTAAAATTTGAAATCACCAGTCTTTCTAATTGTATAAAATCTTTGTTAACCTACACGCGTTAATTTGATTTCTAAATTTAGCACTTTTTTAAAACTTTAATTCAAGTTAAAATGTCTGCAGCACTATAGACATAGGGCATGTACCCTGAGAAAATTTTAATTTCAAAATTTGAAAAAGAAAAAGAACAAAAATCTTATAGACATTTTAACTTGAATTAAAGTTTTAAAAAAGTGCTAAATTTAGAAATCAAATTAACGCGTGTAGGTTAACAAAGATTTTATACAATTAGAAAGACTGGTGATTTTAAATTTTAACAGGCAGTGTAACAGCTACGTAAGAATATACACCTGATGATGGCCATTTAGGGCCGAAACATGTAGTGTGGAGGAGGGAAAGAAAAACAAAATACAATTAAATTGTTACACTTAAGACGGTGTTTGTCTCATATATATTGTGTGAGTGTAACAGGATGCTCAAATATAATATCAGAATATTTGGGCCGAAAAGGGATGAAATTATAGCAGGTTGAAGAAGACTGAATAATGAGGAGCTTCATAACTTGTACTCTTCGCCACGTACAATTCAAATAATCAAGTCAAAGAGGAAAAGATAAGCAGGCATGTAGCATGAATGGTGGAGAAAAGGTATGTATGTTGGATATTGGTGAGAAAGCCAGAAGGAACGAGACAATTAAGAAGACCTAGACGTAGGTGGTAGGATAATATTAAAATAAATCTTATACTTAGGATGGGGTGGAATGGACTGGATTGATCTGGCTCAGAATGGCTCTTGTTAACACGGTAATGCACCTTCGGGTTTCATAAATTGCTGGGAAGTTCTTGAGTAGCTGCACAAATAGCGGCTTCTCAAGAAGGGCTCAGCTCCATGAAGTTAGTATATATGATCTCAGAATAAGACCCAGTGGAGGAATTTTGTGGTGACGATGAATTCTTTAACAAAGGAAATCCCTTGAATATATGAGATCCTACAAAGTGTTCTCTAATCTAGAGAGTTTATGTTTCGTGTATTATTCTCGGATGATACGCAGTCATGTATATAGGAGGGAGATTCAGTAAATAGGTCACAAATTAATATAAATCGTAAAGCATGTGATATTCGAACCTGTAAAAACATTTATTTCTAGACATATCCTCCACCAACAATAATACACTTGTCCCATCGCTTTACCAATGCGTTGAAACCCGCGGCACAGTAATCTTTTGACTGTTGTCCCGTTACACAGTTGCTTCTGTCGCATTCTCCACAAGGCGACCTGGTCGGACATCATCTGCGACTTTCGAATGTCCTTGAGAGAGCTGCTCGACCCAGTTGTGTACGCCTTACGCGACAGACACTTCCCATCGTAACCAGGAATATTTCTTTACGAATATCCTTTTGCATTGAGTTGCATTGGGTCCCTTTGCCCACACAGAAAGCAAAACAGAACGCTTCTCTTCGATAGTATACTCAAGCACGGTCGCCATTTTGACTACTGAGACCAGCCTCTGAACATGCGCATGTGCGTCTACTGCCTAGACTGCGCTGCTGTGTTGTTATACAAATAGAAAATATATTACGTCCATTACAGCTGTTTTGCTTCCTTCTGTGACTTATTTACTGACTTCCTTTCGTGCTTGTTTTAATGTGTGCTATTGCTTCGTTTGTTGTTTATGTTCACTAGTTATCTTCTTCGTACAACTGTATACACACTCATAAGCATACATCAAGCTCGCCAGAATCTATCGCAATTAGGTCAATGCAGATTCTTAACTAATATTTCCGTTAAGAATCCAAACAAAATTCAATGTACCTGAGTAATCTCTCTCTACACCGAAATTGTAATGATGCTGATTGAGATTATAGCAACACACTGCACTGCGAACGCGGGTTCCAGAAAACATTAATTCTTCCGGTAGGTGGAGCTGCAAACGATAGTCTTTCTGTCGTCGTCGTCGTCTATCGCTATTTCACGAATAATGTTTGTTTACAAGAGAATTTTCAAGCCTTAATTTTGTATCCTTTTTATATGCAATATTACAATTAAATTGAGTACCCAAGCATATAAACTAAGTGCATCTTTACCGATTCCAGTTCACTATTATTTCAATTCCGAAACGTCAGGGGGGGGTTATAACTGGATTTGACTACTGGATTTTTTGCAATACGTCACAGTTGTAGTAAATATCGGTTGCTGACGAGCTAAGTTAAACTAAGCTAAAGCTCGTGTTTAAGCAGAGACAATTTCGCGCCGCAGAAATATAAATGACTTTTTAGTGGAACAAGAGATCTCCTTTATTTACCGGCTTACAACTTTTCTTTCTGAAGCAGTCGTTCGTTTTCGCTCCAGACAGCTCGAATTTAGAACGAGTTTCTTATATTTATCGTTCCGTTACACAGAGTGTTGGGACAAGTGGTAGCGTAGTTGATTCAGGCAGTATGCTACAAGCCTGAAGATCGCTGGTTCGATTCCCAATGAGGTCACTGAATTTTTCAATTGACCTAATCGCTCCAGCCGCACTATAACCTTGGTGTCGACTCGGCCTCTAACAGAAATGAGTACCACGAATCTTTCTGGGGGTAAAGGGCAGCTGGAGCATAAGGCTAACAACCTAACCGTCATCTGTGTTCCGAATGTCTAGAAAAATGTGGTAGTCTCGACGTCTCACAACATTATAGGCCTCCACGGGCTCTTACAGGAACAACTTTTTATTTTTCTTTACACAGAGAAGTAATATAATCTTAAAACATACGGATGTAT